CCAAACCCCCAGATCGTACTCCTTAAGGATTTTCCTAATCCCGGGGTGGAGGGGGAACCGGAGGCCGACTTCTATTACCGCCTCATAGCAGATGAAGTAGTCATCTGCATGATCTATGTCGTACCCCCAGGCCATCACAGCATCAGCCAGAGGGACAATAACTTCCCATCCCCTTCCAAAGGGATGTTTCTCTTTAAAGGCCCTGAACCCGCTGTTAAGAAGGGCAATGTTGCTCGGCAGCATCCGGGTTCTTTTAGGGTTTGGATTGTCAGCTACTTTGGGCGGCTGCTGATAGTCAGCCGAAAAATCCCCCTGGTCAGAGTCGGAAGACTCTGCTCTTGATCCCTGGCCGACCTCAGCGTCGCCGGCTTCCTTGGAGGAGGCGGCTCCCTCGTCGTCTACCACTCTTACTCCAGAGCTCCCGGATGTAGAGGGAGCCTCCTCGTCGGAACCACTCTCCTCCCAATCCCTCTGATCCCCATCCGGGAAAACCTCATCGGCTGACACTCTCATGGTGCGCTGGCTCTTAGACCGCCTGACCATTTGTTTCGTTCTGGCCATTGTGTCCTGCACAGACACAGAGAGGGAGGAATTCGGAGATGAGCATATTGGTTCCGACAGTCCAGAAGAGGCACCCCCTGTTCTAGACTCAGCCGTTCCGGGGGATCGGCTGAGTGTCCTAGGCAGTGCCGAGTGGGAGGATTGGGAACTCATTTATATTTTTTATTTTCTAAAGAAAGCCGGGCATACAGGCGGAAAAAATGGTATGTAAATCGAAAGGGAGAAAAGCTAAAATGGTACAGGCGGTTACCTTGCTTTGACTCTGAAAAATCTGAAAACCGCTATAGCCGGTGAACCGGGTGATGAACTGCTAGCACTCGAAAGCTTGAAACTCGCTGGTTATGCAGGCGGGAGCAGAGAAAACTCTCTCTAGAATCTCTCTTTTTCTCCCTCTATAAAGTCAATATGAATGTAAAGTGTGAAAAGGAGGGGGGGTAACTTTCCATTTATAGAAAGTAAAAATGGGGGGGAAATTTTGATTTGAAATTCAAAATTTTACCTGTTACTGTTCACCTATGAAAGGTGGACACGTGTCACAGGCCCCACGTGACATGCACGTGCGACCTGTGAGGGGCAAATGTTTAGGGTATTTTTACCCAAGACACATGGACCAATGAGAGGTCGCCACGTGTCTAGCTCAGGATGGCTCATGTGGCTCAACATCCTCTTGACACGTGGACCAATGAGAGGTTGCCACGTGTCGAGCTCAGGATGGCCCATGTGGCTCAACGTCCTCTTGACACTTGGCGCCCTCAGATATGTTTCTAAAATGGCGACTTCCAAAGGCCCAAACTTCTAGGAGCGCCGTAAAACGGCGCAGCCACTAAAATCTAGGTCAAGTGACCTCGGGAGGGGCACTTTTCCCAACGACCCTATAAATTGGGGGATATTTCCCCATTTTGGGGACAGATTGAATCATTTATTACACACTTATTCTCTTACATCAGAGAAAGACCTGAGCTTGGATTCCGAGCAGATACCCACCTTAATTTTTGTTCTCTCTATTCCGTTTCAAGTTACTAACTTGTGCGTCGGAGGCGGAGCACCACCCAACCGGTGTCTCCGTTTGTTTTGCAGGTACAGCTCACAGTGGATCAGTTTTCGTGTTGTAACTCTCCCAAGGGACAAAAACACCCAAAACATTTTCAATTTCAATTCTTGATTTATTAGTGACAAGCAACATTTACTAATTATTCCTTTACTACCTCGGTGTATAAACACCTTGAGTGCGTAAGGCACCCCAAAACCTTAACCTCGTCTTATAAGACTTGAATTCTTCTGTTACTCATTTTATTTCAATAATCATGAATGAGTAATAAATAAATCATTCCACAAATCACATACCTTTGCCTCTAAGTGCACCTTGCATAATTAGAGCACAAATAATTCTTGCAAAATATAAAATAGTGCACGTCATACGAAATTCACAATGTATAACCAAACAATTTAACTTAGTCATCCCTATACATGATACTAAGTTCTCGATCCGTCCTTAAACATGCACCTACAAGCAAGGTTTCGTAACTTGTACGTACCTTGAATAAACGAATTGGTATGCCACTTTACTAACTAGAAATCACCTTCAATAAACTCCTCTCCTAAACCAAACAATAATATCTCAATCAATACCCAATCAATCAAATTTACAGCAATACTAACTTACTTTAAAACCTTCAAAATCCGAATCAAACAACACTTTAAAACCTTCCCTTTAGTTAAAATTAAAGGCTTATATATAGTTCTTTAAATTTTCTTCATAAAAACCTTAAAATACATTCTTATATATGAAATTACAGCATGCTTAAAGTTTAATAAAAATCTTAAAATTATGTAAAAACCCCGAATAATCTCCCTTTTTAATGGGTGATTAAACCCTCTTTATAAAACATCAAAAGTAGTACTTAGAAACTATTTCCAGCACATAAAAATTCAATAGAAACATATATTTATGCTTAATTAACTTTAAACATAATTAATTTTATTAATCAAACTCAAGGATAATATTTTAAGTATAAAAAAACTTCGTTAAAATCAAAAATTGCCCGAAAATCATATTTAGAGGCTGAATTTGGCCACGAAAGGGTAGTGATCACTACCAAAGGTAGTGTATTTTTCTTAAAACGTTGTTTCTACATGAAAAACACTACCTTTTCATCAAAATCGGATGAGTTCAGAACCTGATCGGGATTAAAACGGATTAATATTAATGAACGGAAATCTTAAAATTAAAACACGAATTTAAGTGTTTAAAATAATCTGGATTTAAGGTAAACTAATTTGTAGTTATAATCACCAAAATTTAAAAACATCATTACTATAAAAGCCCTAAATCAATTGTTCATAAAAACCCTAAAATCATAATTTTTGATAACTTGTTATTTGGCATGATTTTAGGGTACTTTTGAACCTTGTTTTCGTTATTAATCGACATCAAAGTTCATTTTTTATCCTATTTTTATGCAAATTTTGTACCATCCATGCTTCACCGGTTGTTTGTGTTTTTGATGTAATGTAGCTATTTTTAGCACTATGGACATGATCAAGCATGAGTGAGCAAGGATAAGGGCAAGCTTGGTTGATAGAGCCATGGAGGAAGAAGGAGGAATGCCTTAAAGGGAAATGAAAAGCTTTTAGAGAACCTTGAAAGGTCGTTTGCGTAAGCGTCAACTTCAACTAACCATAACTTTTGATCTTATCAACCTTTTGAAGCGATTCAAATTGGAGATTAAAGTTCGTCTCAAGAGCTTTCCAACGACTGGTCACAAGTCCATTTCCGACAAGAAACGTAGAAGTTACAGCTTCTCAAAGTTAAGCAGTCTAGGCAGGGCATCCTGCACGGACGTGCAAGATGATAGCACGTCCGTGCAAATCTGCACGTCCGTGCCAAAAGCTGCACGTCCGTGCAGACCTTGGCAGAAGCTTCTGCCTCCATTTTGGCCCTCCTGCACGTCCGTGCCAAACTTGGCACGGCCGTGCTTAGCCTTGCACGTCCGTGCCAAATCTGGCACGTCCGTGCGGACCTGCAGTCAAGCCCGATTCTTGTTTTCTCCGTCCTTTTTATTTGGGGGTCTTATAAATACCCCCTTTGAGCTCATTTGTACGGGAGGCAGTTTTTTTAGAGCTTTCCTCTTAGTTTGTAGTCTTAGAACATTAAATTCTCAAATCATTAGTTAGTTCTCAATTATTAGCTTGGAAACATTCAAATTCAATCATTGTGGAAGACAAAATCCACCATTGTTGCTCACTTTGAAGCTTCATAGTAACCATTTCTTACTCATCTTTTCTACTTCTCTTTACTTTGTTGTTAATTATTTGCTAGTTCTTGCATGTTTTGGATTGTTAATTAGCTTAATCATTAGTTTGAACTTGTTCATGAATTGCTTGAAATCTTTAATTGCTTTAACCCCCATGGATTGTGAGTAGTCTAAATTCTAGGGTTTGGGCAAAACCCTCAATGTAGTCACTAATTACTTGTTGCATGTGCTAATTTGGTTGTTGTGGGATGTTAATTAGTTGAGCTTAAGTGGTTTAATTGCTTAGTTCTTGTATATGGTCATTGCTAGAACTATTTATCCAAGCTTTCTCAACGAAGGATCGAGAGATGAACTTGAGTTAGCTCCCTTATGCTTGATTGACCCGAAATGCCATGAGAATAGGGATTACTGGTCAAGGGAATGTTTATGTCATCGTGATTATGCTTTAACACTTGTTTTATGCTATGTAACCACGAGAGTAGGTTGTATTCATGATTCAAGTAATCCCTCTAGCTTGAGAGAGTAGTTGGGTGCTTTAGATGACTTCCCCTAATTTATCCCATTAATTTACCTTGATTGTTGCATGCTAATTGTGATTTGTGATGAAATTGAGTGGTATAACCCAAGCCCTAGATTCCTCTTAATATTGTTAATCTCCTCTTAGCTTTAATTGAATTGAATTAGAAGAAGTTACTCAAAACAACCCAATTTAGAATTCATTTAGCTTATTTAAACGGTAATACTCGGTGGTTGATTCAACGCCTCTCTTGGGTTCGACCCTTTCTTACCCTTACTATTGCTAGTGAGACCAAGATAGGAATTATTATCTTTGGTAGGCTCGACGACGGCCTATCAAATTTTGGCGCCGTTGCCGGGGAGGCAAAGTCACATTGAATGTATTATTGTTGAATGAGACTAGATGTGTGTATATGTATAGTAGTTTTCTTACCTTAATTTTTGTTTATGTGTGTTTAACTTGCGATAGTCATTGCTAACGTTTTTCTTAGCTTTGTTTGACTTTGCATGACACGAAAGAGTAAGCAATCACCGCTTATTCCCGTTGATCCAGAGCTAAATAGGACTTTGAGAAACGTGAGGAGACTCTTGCAAGGCACACCCGAGTTTTCCATTGTATATTCTGATTCCGATCCGGAAGAGGTTTTTGGAGCTAACGAAGAAGATAACATGGGAGAGAATCCTCCTCAACCATTGTTAAGAGACTATGACCACCCCAACGCATTCCAACTTCGGAGTGGCATACGTCTTCCCACCACGAATGCAAACAACTTTGAGCTTTCACCTCAACTCATCCGCATGATTCAAAGCGATCAATTTGGGGGTAGTCCTTATGAGTGTCCTTTTGCTCATTTGGACAATTTTCTTGAATTGTGTACAACTATCAAGCAAAACAACATTTCGGAAGAGTTTATTCGGATGCACATGTTTCAATTCTCCCTTCGAGACAAAGCAAAGCATTGGTTGAGAACGGTTGAAGAGGGATCGTTGAGTACTTGGGATGAGGTGACTAGAGCTTTTCTTGGGAAGTATTGCCCTCCCGAGAAAACCGCTGAATTAAGACGGAAGATCACAAACTTCAACCAAGAGGTTGATGAAACTTTGAGTGAAGCATGGGAGCGGTTCAAAGATTATACTAGAGCATGCCCTCACCACGGTTTCACCTCATGGATCATAGTGCAAAGCTTCTATGATGGTCTTACTCCTACCTCAAGGGCTAACCTTGATTCGGGAGCCGGAGGTAGCCTTAAAAAGCTATCGGTTGACGAGGCCTACAAAATGATTGAGGAAGTGGCTAAGCATTATGCTTATGGAGGTGATAAAAGGCAAGGTCAACCCAAGAAGGGCGGTAAGCATGATCTTGAAGTAATAGATCTTATTGCTTCAAAGGTTAATATGTTAGCTCGAAAGCTAGATCAAGTGAACAATGTGCCTGGTAGCTCCTCCCCACAAGTCATGTCTTGTGAGACTTGTGGAGGAAATGACCACTTGGCATCCTATTGCAACACTACAACGGAGCATGTGGCTTCACTTGGTAGGAATGATCCTTACTCCCAAACTTTTAACCAAGGTTGGAAACAACATCCAAATTTTGGGTGGAAACAACCCAATCAAGCTCCCCCTCCTCAAAACAATTACAACCAAGCTCCTCCTTACAATCAACCCTCTCCACAACAACAAGCTCCCTATCGCCACCCCAATCAAAGAGACAATGTCCAACAAAGACCCCAATACAATCAAGCCCCTCCTCCTCCAAAATCCAACATTGAATCCGTTTTGGAAACCTTCATGACCCAACAAATCAAGATCAATGGGGAAGTTAGTAGCTCAATTCAACAACTCCAAGCACACAATAAGATGATTGAAAGTCAATTATCTCAAATTGCACAACAAGTTGGGTGCACCTCTAACCCCGGTGGTCAATTTCCAAGCACAACGGTAATGAATCCAAAAGAGCAAGCGAAATCAATCACCTTGATTATGGAAGGGGGTATGAAACTCCAATTATGAGAGAAAATGTTGCCAAAAAGGGAGATGAGGGAGATAGTTGGGTAGATGAAAGTGAGTTTGAAAATGAAGTGAGTGAGGAGGCGAGAGGAAGGTCAAAAATGAGTGATAAGGGTGCCTCAAAGAGAGATGAGGGAGAAGTGAAGAGTCAAGCTCCATTGAGAGCATATGAGCCTCATATTCCATTCCCTCATAGAATGATAGAGAAGAAGCTAAATGAGAAATTTTCTAAGTTCCTTGATGAAATGGAAGGACTTCAATCAAACATTCCACTTCTCCATGCTTTGTCTCAAATGCCTACATATGCATTGAAAAATATTCTTTCTAACAAGAGTAGGCTTGAGGAGAGTGATTCTATCTCTCTTCCAACGGAGATAAGTGCTATTCCTCAAAATGAGCTTCCCGAGAAGTTTGGTGACCCCGGTAGTTTTGCTATACCGGTTAAGGTTGGAAATCTTGAATCAACAAATGCTTTGTGTGATCTTGGGGCTAGTGTTAGCCTTATGCCTCTCTCTATGGCAAAAAGATTAAATCTTGGGGAGATTAGCCCCACCAAAATGTCAATCCAACTAGCCGACCGCTCGGTTAAAGTCCCATTGGGAGTCTTGAAGGACATCCCAATTCAAGTGGGGAAGGTTCTTGTGCCTTGTGATTTTGTAATCATGGAGATGGATGAGGATTTCAAAATTCCTCTCATATTGGGTAGGCCCTTTTTGAAAACTGCGGGTGTTAATATTGACATGAAACAAGGGCGGCTTACCTTACATGTTGGGCATGAAAGAATCTCTTTCTCATTTCCGGAAACGTTGAATGACCCCATGGTTAAACAAGTTCATCGGGTTGATGTTTTGGTTAATATTTTGAAAGAAGACATGGAGGAGTCACAAGATGAATCGACTCATGCTCCGGAGGTGAAAAAGCAAGAGAGGGCCAAGAAGAAAAAGAAAAACAAGATCAAGTTGATAGACAAGATGTTTGGTTGCATTTCTAGTGATGATAGCAATGTGATTATTTTGCCTAAGGAAAATGGCAAGTGTGTGGGAACAATGAGATGGGTCAAAAAGGTGTGCCTTGACCCTCCCTAATTTTGGATAGCGTAATGTCGTCAAGCTAGTGACGTTAAAGAAGCGCTTCCGGGAGGCAACCCGAATATTTTTGTAGTGGATTAACTTAAAAAAAAAAAAGAAAAGAAAAAAAAAAGAAAAAAACAAAAGAAGAAAAAAAAAACAGCACAAAGTGCATGTCTTCCAACAACAACCAACAGGAACAAAGGTACCAAGGAGGTTCAAGCGTCGAAGAAGACCCGATCCTTGAGTTAGTCTTCTTTCTCCTTTTTTTTTATGAGCTTTTATTGCTTAACATTGAGGACAATGTTTATGATAACTTGGGGGATTCATTTGCATGCCTTCTTGACATGTTGGTTTGTTTGGTTGCGTTTGTTTTGGTTGTTTCATTTCCCTAATATCCAAGGCCCTTAATCCAATTTAGCTTCCTTGAAATCCAAACCTCTTGTCATGTGAATATTAGTGTTCCCTCTCTAGTTAGTAATGTGAATATTTTCGCTTTCTCTTCAAAAAAAAATGATGAAAAAATTGAAAAATGAAAAAAAAAAAATTCCCAAGGTTGAGACTCAAATGACAATGCTTATATGTTTTTCTTGCTTGACTCTTGAGCGATGAGTACTAGTTCTCTTAGAAGGGTGTATGCAAGAGATGGGGTCATTTAGAGGTCTATTAATCTTGATTGCATTAGTGTATATGAAATGAAAGCCAATGAATGCTCAATTGCACACCCAGTATAGGATATTGTCTAATTCGCTCAAGTAGGATATGTTTGAATTGAATTGCGGTCCCTTGTGCCCTTAATGTGCCTCCTTTCCTCCCCGAAATGAAACTCTATTAGGGAATTGGTTATATTTGTATCATGTGTAATAAGTGGCATAATAAGTCACATGTTCTTAATAAAAGAAAGAGCCGCTCACAGTTAAAAGAGGCGAGAGCATTGAAAGTTGAAAAAAAAGAAGAAAAGAAGAGCATAGAACAATGAATAAAAAGGGAGACTCTCGAAAATTATCAAAATTTTCTTCTTTAGAGGTCAACTAGTGGATGCCTCCCACACCTTGTTTACATCATTGTTTCTTATGAAATTCCCGAGTTAGAGTGTAGTTAAGAGGCCTTGGGTGTGCATTTTGGTAAGTGGACTAGCATTTTGAGATTTTATAACCGAAAAAGGGCTTGTTGAAACTTTGGAATATCTAGGTGTGCTCTAATGAACTAGTAAAATGTCTAAAGAAGTATCCTAGTGCAATCTTGCTTAGTCCTCCTCTTTACCCCCAACTCATGTGCACATTTGTATGATTGGTAATTCTTGAAAGTCGCTCATTTGTCTTGCTTGCGATTTATATCTCGATGATTTGACTTGGGTGATAATAACATCGGAACTTGTGTAGTTTGATAGTTTTGTTGTGGTTTGTGTGAGTTGTGGGTTAAGCTCAATGGAAACCCTCACGAGATAAAAACTCGTCCTCTAAGGCGACTTAGAGGTTTAAATTGCTTCTCACTTGTGCTAAAAGTGATGATGGCTGTCACCATGTGGATTTGTGTATTTATGCTTCCTCCTTGTTGCCTTTCCTTGGATTGATGTTAGCAAGTCGTTTTCCTCCTTTGATTCGACATGTTTGTTTTGCTCGAGGACGAGCAAAAACTTAGCTTGGGGGGATTTGATAACTTGTTATTTGGCATGATTTTAGGGTACTTTTGAACCTTGTTTTCGTTATTAATCGACATCAAAGTTCATTTTTTATCCTATTTTTATGCAAATTTTGTACCATCCATGCTTCACCGGTTGTTTGTGTTTTTGATGTAATGTAGCTATTTTTAGCACTATGGACATGATCAAGCATGAGTGAGCAAGGATAAGGGCAAGCTTGGTTGATAGAGCCATGGAGGAAGAAGGAGGAATGCCTTAAAGGGAAATGAAAAGCTTTTAGAGAACCTTGAAAGGTCGTTTGCGTAAGCGTCAACTTCAACTAACCATAACTTTTGATCTTATCAACCTTTTGAAGCGATTCAAATTGGAGATTAAAGTTCGTCTCAAGAGCTTTCCAACGACTGGTCACAAGTCCATTTCCGACAAGAAACGTAGAAGTTACAGCTTCTCAAAGTTAAGCAGTCTAGGCAGGGCATCCTGCACGGACGTGCAAGATGATAGCACGTCCGTGCAAATCTGCACGTCCGTGCCAAAAGCTGCACGTCCGTGCAGACCTTGGCAGAAGCTTCTGCCTCCATTTTGGCCCTCCTGCACGTCCGTGCCAAACTTGGCACGGCCGTGCTTAGCCTTGCACGTCCGTGCCAAATCTGGCACGTCCGTGCGGACCTGCAGTCAAGCCCGATTCTTGTTTTCTCCGTCCTTTTTATTTGGGGGTCTTATAAATACCCCCTTTGAGCTCATTTGTACGGGAGGCAGTTTTTTTAGAGCTTTCCTCTTAGTTTGTAGTCTTAGAACATTAAATTCTCAAATCATTAGTTAGTTCTCAATTATTAGCTTGGAAACATTCAAATTCAATCATTGTGGAAGACAAAATCCACCATTGTTGCTCACTTTGAAGCTTCATAGTAACCATTTCTTACTCATATTTTCTACTTCTCTTTACTTTGTTGTTAATTATTTGCTAGTTCTTGCATGTTTTGGATTGTTAATTAGCTTAATCCTTAGTTTGAACTTGTTCATGAATTGCTTGAAATCTTTAATTGCTTTAACCCCCATGGATTGTGAGTAGTCTAAATTCTAGGGTTTGGGCAAAACCCTCAATGTAGTCACTAATTACTTGTTGCATGTGCTAATTTGGTTGTTGTGGGATGTTAATTAGTTGAGCTTAAGTGGTTTAATTGCTTAGTTCTTGTATATGGTCATTGCTAGAACTATTTATCCAAGCTTTCTCAACGAAGGATCGAGAGATGAACTTGAGTTAGCTCCCTTATGCTTGATTGACCCGAAATGCCATGAGAATAGGGATTACTGGTCAAGGGAATTTTTATGTCATCGTGATTATGCTTTAACACTTGTTTTATGCTATGTAACCACGAGAGTAGGTTGTATTCATGATTCAAGTAATCCCTCTAGCTTGAGAGAGTAGTTGGGTGCTTTAGATGACTTCCCCTAATTTATCCCATTAATTTACCTTGATTGTTGCATGCTAATTGTGATTTGTGATGAAATTGAGTGGTATAACCCAAGCCCTAGATTCCTCTTAATATTGTTAATCTCCTCTTAGCTTTAATTGAATTGAATTAGAATAAGTTACTCAAAACAACCCAATTTAGAATTCATTTAGCTTATTTAAACGGTAATACTCGGTGATTGATTCAGCGCCTCTCTTGGGTTCGACCCTTTCTTGCCCTTACTATTGCTAGTGAGACCAAGATAGGAATTATTATCTTTGGTAGGCTCGACGACGGCCTATCAATTTTCAATAATTAAAAACCCTAGGTTATAAAATTTACAAATTCCGAAAATTATGACATTATAAAATTTGAAATTATAAAGTTTAATCATCAAAATACAACTTGATACTAAATAAGTTACTTTCAAACAATAAAATCAAAATCCATAAATCAATAATTATAATTATACAAATTAATAAAACAAAGGAGAGAGAAAATAAGACTGACCTTTTTGTGTGGGAAATTTTTGGGGATTAATTGGGTATTTATAGGTGAGAATGTTGTAGGGTAAGTAAGAAGATTGGACCTCATAAAATTAATGGGCCAATTAGGTAAATGAAATGGACTAGGCTTTGTTTGTATTGAAATAAATTATAAAATGAAGGTTCATAAAATAATTTGTACCAAAATAATTTTTGACCCAAATTAATAATTTGAATATTTTGAAATTAAATTACGAAAAAATACAAAACAATATTATAAATAAAATTAAATTTCATTTATAACATATTTAAAAATACGGGGGATTACAACTAATTAAACTTAAAGCTTATGTAAATA